TTACATTCATTCTATCCTATATCGTCTCATTGCCATGGTTACAATCCCCTCCAGGCAATCCTTCCCGGTATCCCCCAGGTCTTCAGCACACAGTCACTCTCCCTCTCTGGGTCTAAAGTCTCCAGCTGCTCCATCGCTCCACGTCATTACCTCTGGCTCCATTTCAGGCATCACTGCTTCTCTGGGTAGGGTCCCGCTCTCTGCTCTTCTCCCTTGATGGTCCTAGGGACCTCTGCTCCTAGACTGAAAAGTCAATCACTCCCCTCCTTGCTATAAAACATCTACCTTTACATTTCTGACCCTCACAATCAGTCCTGATAACAATTATTCACTGTTGTCTCACAAGAGACCCGTCATAAACAGAATTCTTAACATGATAAATCAACTAAATAGTTAAAAGACATCTGTAGAACACTATCCAACAACAGTACAATACATATTTTCAAGCACATATAAACATTTTGCAAGATATACCATATTTGAGCCATAAAACAAGTTTCAAGAGATTTTAAAGGACTAAAATCATATAAAGTATATTCTCTGACCACAACAGAATGAAATTAGAAATCAATGTTACTATTGTTAGGTGCACGGAGTCAGCTCAGACTCATTCTATGCAAAATACTGTTCAGTTAGTTCTGTGCTATCCTTACAATTTTTATGTTTGAGTCTATTTGCTGTAACCATTGTGTCAATTCATCTTATTGATGGTGGTAGTGGTTTATTCCTCTTTTTTGTTGACCCTTTACCAAGCATAATGTCTTTTTCCAGGAACTGGTTATCTCCTGAAAATGTGGCCAAAGTACATAAGACAAAGTATTGCCACCTTGTTCTAAGAAGCATTCTGGCAGTACTTTGTCCAAGACAGATTTGTTTGTTCTTCTGGCAGAAGAATCAGGGTATGTCAACAATCTTTGTCAACACCATAAATCAAATGCATCAATTCTTCTCTACTCTTCCTTATTCTTTGTGCAGCTTTCAAAGGTATATGAGGCAAGGTTTGGATAAGATACACTTTAGTTCTCAAACTGACATCTTTGCTCTTTAACACTTTAAAGAGGTTTCTTGCGGCAGATTTGCCTAATGCAACACATTGTTTGATTTCTTTGCTGTTGTTTCCATGACAAGTGTAGATCCAGCAAAATGAAGTCTTTGCCAACTTTAATCTTTTCTCCCTTATCATGATGCTACTTACTGGTCTAATTGTGAGAATATCTGTTTTCTTTACATTGAGTTGCAATCTATACTGAAGAATGTAGTCTTTGATCTTCATCAGTAAGTAGTTTAAGCCCTCTTTGTTTTTATTAAGCAAAGTTGTGTCATTTGCAAATCACAGGTTGTTAATGAATCTTCCTCTAATCCAGCTGCCACATTCTTCTTCATATTGTCCAATGTATTATATTATTTGCTCAGCATACAGACTGACTAGGGATAGGGGAAGGATGCAACCTTAACACACGCCTTTCTGACTTTAAGCAACTCAGCATCCCCTTATTCTGTCCTTGTTGTTCTGTGCACAAGTTCTGCATGAGCCCAATGAAGTGTTCTAGAATTCCCATACTTTGCACTGTTATCCATAGTCTGTTATGACCCACAGAGCTGGATGCCTTTGCAAAAAAAAAAAAAACATAGGTAAACATCTTTCTGATATTATGCTTCTAGTCAAGATCCATTTGACATCATCAATGATATCCCCTCATTCCATATCCTCTACTGAATCTCGCATGAATTTCTCATAGGTGCCTATCAATGTACTACTGTAACTGTTTCTGCATTATCTTCAGCAAGATTTTATTTGTGTGTGATACTAATGATATAGTTCAATAATTTCTGCATTCTGTTGTTGTTAAGTACCATGGAGTCATTTCTGACTCATAGCGACCCTGCAAAGGGTTTCCAAGGCTGTAAATCTTTACGGGAGCAGAACGCCTCATCTTTCTCCCGCAGAGCAGCTGGTAGTTTCAAACTGCTGACCTTGAGGTTGGCAGCCTGACTCGTAACCACTATACTACCAGAGCTCCTTCTTCATTCTGTTAGGTCTCCTTAATTTGGAATGGGCACAAATACGGATCTCTTCCAGTAGGTTGGCCAGGTAGCTATCTTCAAAATATCTTGGCATAGACTTTGTTGTTGTTAAGTGCCATTGAGTAGGTTCCGACTCACAACCACCCTGTATAGGGTTTCTGAGGAGCAGCTGGTGAGCTTGAACTATTGACCTTGTGGTTCAAACTGATCTTACAGTCCAGTGCATTAACTCACATCGCTACACCAGTATTCCCAGTGAGTGAGAATTCAATGTTGAGTTGGTTTCTAACCATAGTTACCCTGTACAACAGAATGAAACAACACCTGGTCACATGCCATCCTCACAACTGCTGCCACACTTAAGCTCATTGCTGCTGCCATGGTACCAATCCATCTCATTGGGTATCTCCCTCTTTTTCCCTTACTCTCCATATTTTACCAATCATGATGTCCTTCTTCAGGGACTGGTCCCTCCTGATAATATGTCCTAAGTGTAAGAGACTTAAGTTTGGCTATCAATAGCAGAAGGAAAATTGGGAAATAGGAAAATATGAATTTTAACAATATAT